TCTTTGACGTCAGCAATGAGCTTCCGTAGACTGACATACACAAAATATAATAATGTCAATGGAAACTGAACACGACAGTTAAATAAAAAATGGTTTGTAGCATTGCGCAGTACATAAGCACTTTTTTATTTTATCTTATAAGTATTCTTGTGTTTTTTTTTCTTTGCCTATTAAAACCTTAATGGGGGGTTGTCACACATAGCAACGGACAGGGCGATAGGATGTGGACAAGGGGAAGAGCGCACTCTTGTGGCCGTTTGTGGAAGTTCAAAGGAACTTTATCAAGGGAGGGGAATAGCTGAGCTACTGTAGCTACAGAAGACCTCCCTCAACCCAGCTGGCCAACATCTCTGTTATGCACAGGGGCATATTCGTGACCATATTTACAGTAGAAGAAAAGTAAAAACAAATGTTAGGTGCAGGGAACATTGCGAAAAGCCAGAATTACAAAGTACATGAATAAAAGTACATGAATAAGACTGAATAATAAGAATAGCCTACTTCCCATTTCATTAAACAACCACTGTTGTACTGTAGGTACTGTATAATTAATAATAATTGCTTACACTTATATAGCGCTTTTCTGGACACTCCACTCAAAGCACTTTTACAGGTAATCGGGACTCCCCTCCACTCCCATCCACCTGGATGATGCGACTTATGCGACCAGGCTTAACACTCATCACACATCAGCTATCAGCTTTTTAAAAATGCAACATCTTTACTTTTCCGTCATTTGGTGGCACTTCACTCTAATTTCAGATACTAATGGAAATCGATGAGTTAATAATTAAAATTAGCTGTGTATGAAAGGTTGAAATGAATATATCTTCTATAAAAAGAAGAAGACAAAGGAACTTGGTATCTTTAGTTCCAAAATTTAAAAAGAGGCAAAACCCATGGGTTGCCCCACCATTTTCACACAGAATCTCTCTTACAAAACTCCTGCTTTTAGGTCTGTGAATCACAGTCAAAGCTGTTGAAATCCTGTTTACAAATGAAAGCTGAGGTTAAAGAGAGATGATTCACTCAACCAAGCAAAAAATAAATGAATAAGCTCATACCTAACCATCCACTTCGTTAAACAAGAACAACACATTCCACACAAAAAACTTAAAAGCCATGGAAAATGAAAAGTAAAAATGCTGTATGTTACTGTAACTAGCACAGAGATCATACCTCTTTCAGAAGAGCTTGATGATGATGTTGCTTTGTCTTGTTGATATCACAATTCCAGCTGAGAGATTTCACAGCTGGCAGGCCACAAGACCATGAGTGAAGTATACATTTTGACAATATGTATAAAAGCCATAAGATGGAGTAAGATAAATTAGAATTTGTTAGATTTCCATAAAAAAGATTTCCAGGGCTATTTGCAGGTAAATGTAAAGCAGGCTGATGACAGGCAGGGACAGGCAAGGAAGGTTAAGCAAGGAGGGACAGGCAAGCCGGCTGATGACAGGCAGGGACAGGCAAGGAGGGACAGGCAAACAGGGACAGGCAAAGATGGACTATAAAGGAGGGACAGGCAAGCAGGCTGATGACAGGCAGGGACAAGCAAGGAGAGACAGACAAGCAGGCAGATGACAGGCAGGGACAGACAAGGAGGGACAGGCAGGCAGGGACAGATAGAAACAGGCGACAGGAGGAACCACACTACCGGACCGGTGCTGACAGCTAATGATGGACGGGGCACTGAGGATTGCTTCCTGTTCCAGGTTTCATGCTCTTCAGGTTTCAGATGTATAGTGTAGGTTTCTTTATAATTCTAGCAGGGCTGGTTACAGCACTACCTCGGGAGGCTCAATGTCAGAGCACTTTTCCAGTGGTGATCAGGGAATTACTAGGGTGTTGAATTAAATGATTGTGTGCCTGATTGGCACACTGACAGGCGGTCCAATCGCATCCTAACTGCCTCAGGGATTGGTTTATTCATGTATTTGTTTATTGTGTTGAGTGAATCATTTCTCCTTAACCTCACCTTTTAATTTGTAAACAGGATTTCCACAGCAGTCATCACCAGGTTTGATCCATGTGCAGATGTTTTTTGTATGTTGTATGAAAGACTGTGTGAAAATAGTGGGGGTAACCCATGCTTTTTAAAATCCTTTAAAACGTTTTAAGTCAAAGATACAAGGTTCCTTTCATTTTCCATCTTAGATGAGATATTCATTTCAACTAACTAATAAGCTTTCATGCACAGCAAGTTACAATGGATAACTCCTGGCTTTCCAAAAGAATCTGATACTAGAAGTTATTGTCATTAGATGAAGGCAAAATGAATGTGTTGCTTCTTTAGAAAATAAGACAATAATTTGCTTAATTGTACAGCTTTTCTTGATTTGGAAATAATATTTTAATTCTTTTTTATGGAAAATGTATTTTTTTTTATCTTGGTGCTCCATTTTATGGGTTTTGCAATTCAAAATCTCGGTTCAGCAACAGCCACATGGAGCAGACAAGAGCCGCCCTTCAACCCTTCCCTGTGAGTGTGCTGATGGCATTGGTGGAGTTAGGGTTAGGACGCCCTTTAACCCCTGCCCAAGACACCTAGGGGCAACAGGTTCTGACCTACAGTAGGTGCTAGTGGCAAAGGCAAAGGACCACGTCATGCCCTGCTAGACCAGGAGGCTGGAACCATGAGCAGCCGAGGGCTTCTTCTGTCAGTTTGGTGATCTCTCTGATCATACCAGAGAAAGAACTGAAAGTCCAGGTTCTTAACAGCCAAAGCCTGGGGATCCAGAAGACCCAGACACCCCGACTGCATCCACAAGCACATCAGCCCTGCTCAAGCTGGGGAGATGGTGTTTGACAACCACTAGTACAGTAAATGCATATTTACTTGTATCTGAGGATATGAATGTGGTGTAATTATATGACTCATAAAACCTAAGGTAGACTAAGGATGTATTTTAACTCTGAAGTTATTAACTCTTATCTTTGTAATCCCTGAATGAATGTTCAGCCTTTCATTATTACAGAAGAGCATTTCACAAATGCATTTTCTTGCGCTAGTTGTTTGTTATGCATGATATATTTAGAATCTGAGTGTGAGACTGCAAATTATTATGTTTGATTGATTCATAACAGCCATCAGAGAACACACACAATTTACTGTTCCAAATTCTCGTTATTACAGTTAATTAGTGTAAAACCCTCACATTACTCCACAAATACTGAAACAAGCCCAGTAATCTATTAAGCATTATCTAAAAGACTGGACCCAACAACACTAAAAACCAGTTCAGAACAAAAACTAAAGACCATTTAATAGATAGGTAGGTCAGTCCCTTTTCAGGCCATAAAGGCCCATGGGGCATGGGGGCCACCATTCTTCTTGACCATCCAACACTGGAGGTTGGGTCGTGGTCAGTATCACACTCCAGCCAGCCTATTACCTCTGGAAGGATTAACCACCAGTACTCATTTGGAAAGTAGGCTGAGCGGACCTGGGAGCCATCTAGAAGGAATTAGAGCGAGCTCCATCGCTTGCCCCTACATGGGATTAAATCCAGGGCCTTCTGGTCAGGAGCTAAATGCCCTTGCCATTTGACCTACCACAGCTCCTCCTTATAATAGAGAGGTGTTCTAATGGAAAATAATGATTAAAGACCTTAATACATAGTAAGTGCATAACAGGAACCAATGCAGCTGGAATACCCAGAGGTTTATCATGTAAATGACTTTACATTACTTTACACACATTCAGATTTCACATTAGGTTCAGAAAGCTAATGCTACTACTGCAGAACTGCAGAGTTCTGTTCCAACTGTGGTTAAAACTCTGTAGATACTGCAAGAGAGATATCGGTTGTTTGGAATGTTTACAGAGAACGTGCCATTTCAGAGCAATTGGATGGCCGTGATAAGTGCTATCAGAAACACTACTGTAGCTATGAAAACCTTTGTGTGGGTCCTAAATACATTTATGCTCCAAAACATGACGTTTATGGGAACTGAGAGAGATGTTCTGAAGTATGAAAACTGCATGTTAACATCTGGTTACAGAGCACTGTGGGAAAATGTACTTTTATGTGTTCCTGGTTTCTGGAAATAAGTCTGGCTCTTGGGGGGCCCTAGGCAAGATCTTGGAAAGAAGCCATTCCAGATCACACACAATACTATTATCAGCTCCCAGGACAACCTTATTTTACTATTTAGAAGAGTTTAAATAAATTAATTATATTAAAATGTAATAACCAGCTTTGAAGGACATATAATAAATAAGTTACAAACAAGAACAAGAAGCACACCTTTTACCAGGATATAATGAATTTTAATACTGAAATTCATAAATAGGAACATTAATAACAATAAATACCAATACAATAAATTGGATCTCTGTTACTACAAATTATAGCAAATCATAACATACAAATTTCTGATTTGAAGCAAATGTAGAAAGGAATTGTAGAAATAAGTATGTAATTAAGAAATAAGTCGCCTACAGTGGTTCGCCTGATGACAGCTCGTATAGTGAAGTGGAAACCAGGCTGCAAGAACGATGTTAAAACAGAACAAAACTAGCCTAAACTTGAGTAAATGGCATTAAAACAAGTTGTGACAGTACGCTCTTAAGAGGCAGAAAGCTAAAAAGCAGATGGTGGATTCTAAGAGGTAAGATGTAGCTGTTTAATGTGTCACTTTAGCAAGAACGAATGATTTTAATTGTAACGTATACGTAGATAAATATAATGTAACGGGGTTCGGTATCGAATGGAGCAGGCGTAGGACTCAGGAAAAGGGGTTGAAAAGGGAAGAGACCATCTCCAACCTCCCCGCCCTGTTTTATACAGTTAGGCTCCCCCAAGCCCCGCCCCTCAGGCGCTGTTCCCAGCCCGCCTTGGCCGCATGGCTTAATGGGACGGAGCAGCGGTTAAGCACCCCGTGTAGGCGCTACAATATTAACGATATAGTACATTTTTAAAAATAATTATTATATATATAGTACTGTACATACTGTATATTTCTTGTAAATATCTGCTACACTCTTATCCTAAGTAATTATATCATTGATGTTTGTAAGTAAAGCTGAGACTGAAAATCAGCAATACCAGAGTCAAATTAAAAGTTAAAAGTATTAACCCTATTTGCAAAACAATCAAATATACAGCTTCAAATCTAACATGTAAAATATAACAAGTGTTAACTAAAACGAATATTTCTAATAAACGTGTCTGAGACTGAGACCGTAAGTGTTGATGGAGTTTTATAATAGTGCAGTCGTTACCGAGGAACGTTGCTGAGGTTTTGCACTGCCTCCGGCGTGCCGAGGGGAGGAGGTTCAGTCTTCAGTATTTCAGCAGTCGGCAGTAACAGCTTGTCATCAGTCTTCCAGGTGAACTGAGCAGAGCTTCATCGCCGCACCCAAAATGGAAACGCGCTACCTAGCCCTCCTCTGCCTGCTAGCAGCCACAGGTGAGTGAACTGGACATCCGCAGGGATATTGTTGCTTTTACTAAGCTTGCATTTATCAACTGTAATTTTTCTGAAGTACTGATAGACTACAAACTGTGCAGTAAAAATTGCCAGCGGAATTCTCCTAGTCTTGACAGGCGGTGTCAATGCATTTATGTCACTGTAACATCCTATTATAACTATCACCCTATAAGTGATTCATGAAGTATAACGGAAAAATAAGTCGAGGGAATAATTTAGCACTGTTGTTAATCAGATTTCCTACATTACCACATGAAGTATGAACGGACCATTTTTGAAACATCAGAATAAATCTGAGACTTTTAAAATTGTGATAGTTATTACTATTGATTTTAATTGTAGTAGAAGTCATACCCGTATTAAGTGAAATTTATATTAAAAAAAACATAAATTAGAAAAAGTTATTTATTTTGCAAGTTAAACTTTCCCGCTCTCTAAAATGGCTGTTCCTTCATGAAAGGTATTTCATCTAGAGTGCAGTACACAGGTACAGGTAGGCATGACCGGGTGTGGTTTGCAATGAGACTGAGCCCTAGAATGTCCGGTAAGGGTAATCAGTCTACTGTACATACTGTATTCATGCTCAAATTTAAGAAGTAATTTCTTTACAATGTCACTTAAACGTTTATTCAATGCAATTAGGAGTCTGCTTCTTCTCCACTGTTGGACTTAACTCATTGCTGTCCAGGCTTCTCATCTCTTCTTGATTTTGGTGGCTTTCCGTCACCCACACATGGAAGTATTCAACTGGTATTTTCTTCCTTAAGAAAAGTTATTTCTCTTGGCTCTTCAACGTGGAGCACCAGTATAACCAATGTGTTAACCCTTGTTTTTCCTAGGAAGTTACGCACAGAAGGTGCTAGTCCCCAACAAACGAGTAACTGGAGTGGTAGGAGGCAGCGTGGTGCTTAAAGTATCCGTTGAACCTCCAGAAACACAAAAGGCCGCAATTAGCTGGGCATTCAACAGCGGCTCTGGACTACAGGATGTGATTGGCTTTGCTGATGAAATTAATGAAGGAGATGAGTACCAAGGAAGAGTAAGTTTGAACATTTCAACTGGCTCTCTAGAGCTGAGACAGCTGACACTGAACGATTCTGGATCTTACGACATCACCATTGTGACAAAAAAGGGCATGACGCTGCCTGCAGAAATTGAACTGAAGGTATATGGTGAGTAATTATCAATTCAATATATCTGTAGTCATTTTGACAAAAGAAGGAAGTAAAAATAATTAGAAATAGTATTTTCTGTTTTCCTATAGTTTACCTATCCATATTAACAACCACTTCAAAACGTCAGATTGTAGACTTTGGCATGTTTTGTGGTTTATTTTGCACTCAGTGTCTGATTTCCAGTATTCTATGCATTGTCATTTCCCCAATTTTTCTCAAGTGGAACAAATGAAATACATTGTGTAAAACACATTATTATTTGAAGTGTGTCAGTTCTTTCTCTTAACTGAGAGCCCAGGTGGAACAAAAAGATAAAGCAGTTGTTGAAATTTGGATGGACAAGTGGACTAATACACTCAGTAGCTTTCAATAACTTGAGCAATAGTATTTTTAGTAGTCCTGCTCAACAACCAGCATATCAGTACTGGAATTCACACAAGCTTAGCAATGGATGCCATGCCTGATTGCAGACTAAGCTTCTTCAAAGAAGAAAAATGGAAGCTAGGCAGATAACTTGTTGCTTCTTCTATTTATAAAGTGCTAATTTTTCATCTTTACAAGTGTGTCTGTTAGATTAATTTTGATCTGAATGTTAATACTTGTGCACAATTGGAATAAGATAACTTGCCCTAGAGCTCTGCTTAAGATCCAACTGTACACATTCTTGTGTGTATTTGACTCTTTGTCAGATGTCTTTGTCTCCTCCGACTGACTCTTTATAGGAAGAGAAGAAAGAGATGTGAAAGATTTGCTTGCTTTTACTATGGGTTTTGTCTGATGATTTAAACATTATTCACCTCTACAATGATGAAAGAAAAGAAACCTTCAGTCCTTGAGCTCTATAAGCCCAGTCAAAGTTGGAAAGTCTTGAAAATCATGCTAGTAAACGTAGCAGAATTTCTGATTCAACAAAAGCCACTTCCAGCTTTGTTAGGCCTATTGTACGTACATTGTGCAATCCATATTTTGCATGTATTAAATCTTTTTTTTCTATTTTTCTTAATTTCCTGATCCTATTTATTGCATAAAATTGCTTACCTTATAATGCCTATGCAGGAAACAGATCTTGCAGAATATGTCATTATTATTTCTGTCCTATCTTGACAATTTTAATTGTTCTGTATCTAATCTTGATTATCCAGCAGGTTTAATAATTTTAAGGTGATTATTAGATGCCATGTTTTACCTGGTGACTGAATCCTATTTATTTTCCAGAATTATGCAATGTGTTGTGTACATTTTCAGAGAGTATCCTTAGAGTCACTGATCAATATATATAGAGAAAGAGTCTTTATTTTTCCCAAGGGGCAAGACATTAGCCCATAAGAAATGGGAGGCCATATTTCCTCACCCAGTGAAATTCACCAACAGTACTGGTAGCTTCACTGCTGATGATCTCATCCCCCTCCCTGTTGTAGACAGCCCAGACGTTTGCAACACCTTAGGACAGCTAAATCATACTTCACCATACTCATGAGGAAACACCTCATTCAAGATCAACTTCTTCAGCACACCTCCTGTGTCCATGACCAACTGAAGAGTCAAATGTTGCAAGACTAGCAAGTCTCTCATCATGTGTTTGGGCTCTAGTAGAGATATAAGGTCCCTTATTGGCACCATGGCCCTCTTCACTTCAGACAAGTCAATGATGCTAAAATAGAAGGAAAAAAAAACTGAAAACGGAAGAAGAAGTAAAAACTGAAACAGCTACTCCAATTAAATCCACAACAATGCCAACCACCACAGAGGTGTCCTATGAAATGAAAACCATGAGCCTCTGTCAGAAGAGTCTGATCTGCTGGCGTACTGGAAAAGAAAGAGAGCCCACTTGGCTCAGCTAGCCTGTGATCACCTACAGTAACTCTACCTGCTCTGTGTCCACCTGCAGAGAGTGCCACGATTGTAGTCCCTCCTCCTTAAGGTTGTCCGGCTCTTCCACTTCGGACCTGATTCTGTGCACCTGCCCCTTGTTCCAGCCTCCTTCCCGTCCCCCTTAAAAGCCCGACACTTGCTCAGTTCGGGGCTCTGCATCTGATTCCCATATCATGCAAGCCCGGGTCCTGATACGCCTAGCTCCATTATGTTTTTAACTTTCTGTTCCTGTTCCCCCTGCCGGTTCTAACCCGGTTCCTGGTTTTAACCTGTCTGTTCTTGATGGACCGCCCGGCTTTGGACTTTGCCCATTTTTTGGATTCTCCTTTGGACTTCTTCTTTGGATTGTTTGCCTCGGCCACACCTTCCAACAAACACCAACGCACCAAGAACACGCCCCCTGTCTTTATTCCCGTCCTGTATGATTTCTCCCCCCGTGTTTTCTCACTCAACCCCGGATTGTGTCGTCCACATAGGGTCCGGAAAGAACTGTTCGTTACGGAGAGACTCTTCACTGTTACAGGCCTGAGCAGTGCAGCCTAAATGATGCAAACTTTGAAGAGCTAGTGATGATCAGTGATCAGATGTAATAAATGATAGAAGACCTTACATGATGTATTATGGCATACCTTCATGTCTTCTTGATTTGATTTTGAGGCAATGTATATAAACAGTACAACAGTTTGTCTGATTTCTGTTCTTTTTTAGTTTTAAGATGTACCCATTACATTTATAATAAATGTAAATCTAGTCAGCCATCCATTTTCTAACCACTTTTTTTTTCTAGCACAGGGTTGTGAGTAATAAGTTGAAAGGTAAAGAAATATTGTTGCTAAAATATGTTTACTGTTAAAAGTGATAACAAATAGTGAAAAAAAACATTTGTGAGTATATGTTGGCGCTCATCAGTCCACAATTATCATGAATCTTGACATAATGAATATGGACCTAGGCATTCTATGTAAGCACCTGCAATAAGCTGTCAGAACACAGTATCATGCTTCTTAAGGAAATTTTATTTCTGTTTACAGAAGCAATAAGTGATGTCAGTGTTAAACCTACCACTGGAATGCAGCCCATAATGAATGAGAATCTGACTCTAGTCTGTAATGTGAAGGGGCCTGTAGACTTCAGACAATGGCAGAAGAACAGCAGTCCCCTGATCCCCACTGTCAATGTTACCTTCTCCAGAGACAACAGCACAGTGTCCTTCTTCCCCTTGCAGCTGAGTGACCAAGGCATCTATGAGTGTACAGCATTTAATATAGCGAGCAACCGAACTGCGGCATACAAACTGTTGCCCAGCTGTAAGTACCCAACCCGCTTTCGATGCGTGCCTCCTCTTTTGTTTTTCTGGCTGATCACTGCACTGATACTGCACTGCACTATGCTGCTCACTCTACAAAAGAGACATTAAGTTAAAAGTTGAAAGTTAGAAAAAACAAAGGTGAAATGTAGCTAAACAAATGCAAAATCCTTGTCTTTTGATGTAATGATACAATTAGAAACAAAATAAAAATGAATCACTTTGCTGTGTAATTCTGCTTAATAAACAGTGTTTGGCCCAGTGTTTTCTGAGCTCACATCTGTGGTGATGCTGGTCAAATGTTTCTCAGTGGAAAATGGAGTGCACAGCCTCTATGAGGCTGAGGGCACAGATATGCAGGGAGAGTGCTTCTAGCTATGTTCTTTACATTTACTCTCTATTTGTATTGTTTTAGATGGACCAGAGAAGGCAGTTATCACAGGACCTGATGCAGTAAACGCAACTTCATCTCTGAAATTGACCTGCTTTGCCGTTTCTGTGCCTGAATGCACATACACCTGGCACTTCAATGGCTTGGAAGTTTACAGAGGTTCAGAATACATAATAAGTAGAGCATCCTCTGCTCATGGAGGCAACTACACCTGTGTTGCCCACAATGGAGTGACTATGAAGTCTGCATCAGTGGTAAAACAGCTGACTGTGACAGGTGAGTCCATTCGCCCTGTGTGTTCTGGTGTATAACCATTTTCCTTGTTAAACAACAAGAAGTAAAGGAGAGAATACCTTCACACAGATAGAGACGATTCCAAGCTAGAGAGAAGAGGAGAGGTTCGTGTTAGTAGTTGTCAGGCTCTGTTCTGATTGCTCTCCTTTGTCACAGACTGTCACACAGTACATGATGACTATTTACCCAAGTATTTGAAGGGTCTGTCTCAGGAGAGGGTTTAAAATTAAGCCATGAGGGCAGCGGACTACAAATGTGGGGTTGGGGGGATGTGTTGCACAGATAAAGGCTTTTCTCTTGACTGTAGGATCTAGTCATGTTCTATAAAAGACTCTCAAGTTTGAACTATCACTATTATTATTAAGCAGACAACCAACAAGCACTTGGAGTTCCTGGCACACCATCTTTTCCTATCAAGAAGTTGTTCCAGTGTGCATCCAGCTGTTGCTTGTTTGAACTTATCCCTGCTGTCCTTTATTGTAACTCGGCCCTGCACTCTCACTCTCTCAGGTGTGCATGTTGAGAAATCCGATTCTCTGAATAATGGACAGATTGCTGGGATTGTGATTGCCTCTGTGATTGGTGCAGGACTTGTCACTGCTGCACTGTGTTTCGTCCTAAAGAAAAAAGGGTAAGTTCACAGGGTTTTGCTGTTACCTTTATTTTAAAAGGGAGTCAGTGTGCTAATATGTGATGCGTCTTTTGTGGAGTTTACTGCAGCTGTTTATAATACTGATGTAGTAAAAGTGTTAAAATTTCCCCTCCTACTACTTTGCATAATATTTGTCCTCTGACAATATTTTCCTATGTTTCATTTAGTAACTATAGAAACCTATGGAAGAAGTGGTAGTAAACTCTGCTACCTTACAACTGCTTGGTGGCTTGTATGTAAGGAGCCTGCATGTTGTCCCAGGTGCCTTGGTTACCTCCCACCTCTCAAATATGTGCAGGTTAGGTTTGATTGGATGCTGTAAATTTTCCCTTGCTGGGTGGACTGGGGGGGTTCAGTGGGATTCAGTACCTGGAGGGCTAGTTTCCAGTACAATTAGTTTTGTCAATGAGACTCAAGAGAAATGGAACTATGCGATGACAAACCTCTTCTCGTATGTGCCTGTTATGATGTTCTGAACAGTCAAGACCCATTAATCATCAATATGTATAGTGCACTTTGCATTTACAGTGCGTTTAACTAAAAAGTAAACAGGTCTGCAAGATTTCCTTTTGAAGTTTCTGCTGAAAATGATAGTCGTAAGTCTGCCTCCTTAGGGTTTCCTTTTGCCTTATATTATATTGTTGCTCACTTTATTAAAATAATCTTAGAAATTGTCAGTCACAAAATGTTGTTACTGTTGTTGTTATTATTATTAACATTACCTTTTGAGCTCTGTTTACCTGAGTCATTCAAAGAGGTTTTCTTTCAGATCTCAATTTTTGCTGAATTACAGTACAGTACGTTGTATTACAAACATTTCATTCCAAACCTAGAGTTGTTATGTTACTGCTAGACGTTTGAGATGGACATGTATAAACGTTCATAGTAAATAAAAGGCTTAATTCTATTAGTAAAAGAAACTACAGAGTACATATTCCACTGCTTTGCCTCACTGAAATACATATACAGCCAAAAATATTTGCAGTGTTTATTGTACAGTTAAAGTCTTGTACTCGAGGCCTCTGTAAAAACCGTTCTGTTCAGTGCTTGACACACCCAAGAATGAATTTCTACACAGTGCAGTTTAAAAAATCAACAAAAGAACAGAGCAATACTGTAGACTAAACAGACAGACATGGAGGGAGGAGTCTCCTCGTCGTAGAGAAACGCCACCAGCTGTTTTTTTTTGGTGTCCAGGGCATTTTCATTTGGATTAAGAGAAAAAAGCTCAAAGACACTTAAGAATCTGTTTTTTCTCTTAATATAGTGCATTACAAGAGTCCAGATTTGTGAGATGCAGAAAAACCAGAGAGCATGGCTACAAAGTCACATCAAAAGACAGCACTTTTATATTTCATCACTTGACACAAGAGTTAGTCCAATCTGCATAGTTGTCACTATTCTGTGACATAATATCAACCTTATTGACCATATCCACTGTTCTCTAAAACTAAATATATTGTGTCATCATTTAAGTTTATCCAAAGTCCTTGTTGCTTCTTCAAAGAACTCTAGCAAATTAGTTAGACGAGACCTCCCCAAATGTTCCATGTTTTCTAAGTATTCTTCTAATGTAGCTCTTACTTTCATTTCTGTTACTTTATCAGTCACAGACGTACGATTGTAGTCGGAGTACTCACTCCTGATCTGTATTCTGTTTTCTATCCATTTACCAATTCTCAAGCCAAACACAGGTATTCCTTTGCACATCTACCACTTGTAATTTAATCATTTATGCATTACAAAGAACATTCCTCAAATAGTTCTGAAAATCAAAATTATTGCTGATTATCCCATACAATCCTGGTGCTATGTCATTCATCCACTAATCAGAGTTTTTTTTAAGAGAGGTTAAAAAGGGTTGATGGGTCAAAAAACGTTGCACTAAATAACCAGAAAGTTGCTATGTCAATGTCAGTAATCGATATTGGACAATGCCTAAAGCACCTTTACTTGTAGTAGTGACTCATCCTACATGTTGAAAATAGCTAGACTTTTAGATTCCCCTGTTTGTTTGTGTTTCTGAGCTTGATCTGAAGTTTAATAACAGCAAAATCATAATTATATCATGTAACAGTGATGAAAAAATCATTGCATTTTCAGACCCATTTAAGTACATTTTTCAAGCTGTTTATCTCTTTAGATTACAGCGTAACCTAAAACAAATTTGTTTTCAGGTTATGTTATTTCTTGTTGTATTAGCTCTAGTTTCTTTGTTGAATACAGGGCGCCACTTACTCAGCAAGAATCTGCAAGTGTTTGTGTGGGAAAAAAAAAGTTTTTTTATCAATGTAAGGTAGATAGGACATGTAAAACCTGTCCTATGATTATCCTGATACTAGGTGGCACTGAATGAAGATCTGAGGACTAGAATCAAACTGCTCCTGAATTTCTGAAGCTACAGACCATCTGGAGTAGCAGCCAATCGGATACTCCATTGCTTAAAATGTCACATCTAAAATTCAGATTCCTCTTGTGTGGGGAGCACTTTGTATGGGGCTGAGCTCCAGCAGCATTCTCATTTGGTTGAAATATAGAATGTGAAAAATGCAGCTGTCTTGTCTTTACTTGTCCGTTACTCCACGGAATTACCCTGCAGGAACTCTTGCTAACATTCTTCTCCACAGCAGCCTCCGTCAGTATTCCAAATTCCTTTGTTAGTCATATTGTCTTGAGAAGTGTGTTTGTGTTTCTTTCTTGCCCGTGCCTGTGTGTTAGAGCAGAAGTGTAGTCCACAACAGCTCGGGACTTGAAGTGTGATGGTTCAGTAGCCACAGCAGTGTCAATGCGGGTGCCAGACTGGGAGACACTAAAAGTACAATGAAATCAACAGCCTTGTTTGCTAAAAAAAGGGCAGCAGCTAAAGAACATGTCAAGAGACCAGGTGTACTTTCCCAGCAGGACTTGTACACAAACACAGGAATGAATCTATTGTAGCACAGTTTCTTTCTAATCTCTCTCAATGATAGTATAGAAAACAGTATAGACAGTTGTACTGTATGTAATAATGTGCAAGGACTTTTAAAGTTGGCCCATGTGATACATTTATGATTTAATGCTAAAATGAATTTGAATTTGGGTAAACTGTGTATTTCTGCTTCTCTATCACAAATTTAACATATTTTCCATTATTTTGTTTCAGAACAAACGGAACCTACTAAGAAAGATCTTGAGGTAAATGTATTTCTTGCTTTTTAAAAGCATTGCTATTTATTTGGTCAACGTTTGCAACTAGTAATAAATGTTTCTTGCTTTTCAAGTGCATTGCTATTTATTTTGCCTACATTTTGCACAGCTATGAACTGCTACTTTGAGTCTTAAGTGGTATTTAAGCCTAGATTATTTATCACATTAGCCACACAAACTTTACATACATACTTGCACACACGTTCGCACACAGACATGTGCTTACACATACTGTCCTGTACCCACACACACACACACTCACACACACTCACATACCCATACAAACACTACCAGAGGTCAGGCCTATTCTATGCACAGACTGCACCCAGCATTCACATTACAGTACTTAATCAGCAGTCAGAATGCTGGCTATAATAATTTACAGAAAATATGTATTTAAGCCCAAGCTAATCTCAGGCCTAACGTGAAAAACACTGTGACACTTGGTTGCATATTTCTCCACTTTGTTCAGACTCCCAGATCTTGCGTAACTGAGGCCAATGTGTTCCTTTTTATTTTTTTTCCTATTGTACACACTGGCGCTGACAACGTACTTACATAGTGATAGTGTATAGTGATACAATATTCCTTGGTGAATGTTCACATGGTTCTTGCCCATCTTTGAGGGATGTTTAACTACTGCTCTATGTTTATTCTGTAAAAAGTCAGACAGGAATCACGGAGGCATTCATTTAAGGTGATCAGAGTTGACCTACAACTTGATCTTTTGTAGGCAATGAGTGGATTTTTCTTTTTTGTACCTTAAAAGTCTGCATGACTTCCACTCCTCCCATATAAGGGCTGTAGGTTTATAAACTATAGAATGTGTGCTTGTGAATTCAGTGCCGATTAAGAAAACAGCCAATGGACAGTTCTAAGAATGTTGATTGATGCAGTTCCCTTGAGTTTTTCTTATTAAATGACAGTCCTAGCACGTATGCATCTCCTTATTCTAATAGTTTCAGAGCGTTCTTCTTAAATATTTAGGATTTAAATTCTTAGAGATCTCCCACACACATTCATTACAAGATCTTCTGTAAATTGAAGTGGTATGAGTTCTGAGATGAGTCTTCAGAAAATACCAGTTTCTCAATAATTTACTGTGTTTCCTTTTCTAGGGTAGCCTACATTCTGACCATCTTTTGGATGCCTGCTCATGAGTCCGCATGGGAATCCCTAACGCGACCTGCGTGTAACACAAGTAGAAAAGATGTCCTTTGGATCTATGGGTAGCATTGAAGGAAGAGTCACTCCAGGAAACTGACCTTCTGCAGTGTTGTCAAAGTATGATTTTAAGTGTAAAAGTAAACTTTTTGTCTTTATGTTCTTTTTAAAATACTAACGTCCATCTGCAAAATGTTCGAAACAAAACCAAAAAAGCAGGCAGCTAAATTAACAGGTGTGCACAGGTGTTGTTAGTCATTTAGCTATAGAATTTTTGAACGGAGTGTTTGGATTCGATCAATGTTAGAGTACCTCCAGTCTGTCTGCTTGCATTGGAATCAACTGGATTGTATGTAGATTGAAACTGCAACTGCCTTTCTAGAACACAATACTCTTTGGTGTTTTTTAAATGTATTGCTTGAAGGAAAATATGTATAGTACATTGTGTAGTATGTGGTTTAGACTTTCATTTAAAGATCATTTTGGATGTTTAACAGCACATTTGAAATTGGCCGAGATTGACAATGCACCCATTATGACAAACAAATTGTCTTTTTGTGTGTAAGTTTTTTTTTTTTAATTAAAACAAGCTGCATTGATTCAATTAGAGTTGTTTAAAGTACTGCACCAATGTAGTCAATTCCAAATTATATTATATTACTGTACAAATAGGTTAGTTTCTGGTTTCAGAACTGTTTTATAAAAATCTTAAGTAAAAAACTGTGGACACTTTACCTGCTGTATTTTGTAGGCATTTACACCAGCTTGTTTTCTTAGTATTCTCCAGTTCATGCTTTTCTCATCAGTTCTTGAGTTGTGATGCAGCTTGGCTTGTCTCCAAGGTGACTTTACATGTGTGTAGCCAAAGAGATTCGAAAGAGAAATGTCACTTTCAGAAATACTACAGTGCTAAAGGTTCCTACAATGTTCACAGTATGTGTGTTGCATTTTATCTGTATAGAAGAAAATCTTGAACATTTAAAAACATACTGGTTTTTATATTCTTTACTATTTTACTGTACAAAAAATGCAATGCACAAAGTAAAATGTGTATCATAACCTTTATTTTAGAGTCTTTACTGAGACTTTGATGCAAGTGTTTTTTTCTTTTGTAATAATTATGAATCTGCTGTTATTTAGCTTTTTATCTCCTATTTAGCAATCTAAAACACTGTGAATGTGTTCAGTTCTCAGGTTCAAGAAATTAATTTACTGGAAAAATCACTACCTTAGAGGGAAAAAGTAAGCAGAACTTTTTGCTGGTGTTTAAATCAAATATGACTCATAAAAAGTCCTTCTATATTTTCGCAAAAAGATGCATTTATACTAGAAATTGTTGTAGTACATTTTGTAGTCCTAATCATCTCCCGCATTTGGTTACAATCTTCTCTTCAGTCTCCTGTAAAGCACATCCTATAGCATTTCAACTGAGCTTAAGGATGAGTTAAGGGGTGAAAAACACGTTCTTTTCTTTCTGATTGGGGTTTAGTACGGTTGTGTTTCATGGTAGTGTTGTCGGCTGAGTTTCATTTTCATTCCAGTTTTCCTCTTACAATATTTTCCTTTGTAAATGTGGTTTCAGACATATTGTGCATATTCTTCTTTACAGACATGGGTGCTTATTATAGGTCACTCTTGTTTCAAGAATGTCTGGAAGCTATTCTGTACTGTGCTCCCCTTCCTGGATTCTGCAGTACAGTATGTACAATTTAGAGGTGCCAACATGAATGTGGCATGATTATGTAACAAAATAAAACATTTACACTTTACAAACAATTTACACTAGAAGGATGTGTTCATGCACTGGAAGTGACTTGTATTAGATGTGACTATCAAATGACAAAAATGAAACCAAGTGTACAATATTCATAAAACAGGATTAAAACATTATGTTCTTACTGACTGCATTTTTGGTGTTCTTTCTATCTGTAAACTAAGCCTTTCTTCTGGGCAGACTCGGAGAGAAAGGTAGTTCTTACTGGCTATGTGCTTCTACCAACTGGATAAAAATGTGCCATGTAGTCCAACATTCTCTCTGAACTGCAGATTGATCTTTCCAAAATGGAATTAATCAGTTACAAATGTTATTCTCACAGAGCTGATTATGAGTCCAGAGAAACGAATGACCAGGTCTGAGCGGTAGAGCTGTTATTTACAGAGACTGAGGTGGCAAACTGGCCACCACGCCAAATGCATCAGTTTCATTTTCTTTCTTGTTCCAAATATGTAAACACATTTTTATTTAAGGAAATGTATCCAGTTTATAACTACAGACAGACTGTGACACTGCAGGCGCTGTGGTGATCTGACAGGCCGGAACCCAAGTGCAGGACGTTGTGTGGCTCTGGGAGATTCTGGTAGAGAGCAGCGAGACGGGTTGACCGCTACTGGGAGTTGAAGAGGCAGGCTGGATATCAGGGTTTGTTAAAAGGCCGCCTGAAAGCTGGGCAAGGGCTATCTGGAGAGAGGTTATTGAGGCCTGCAGGAGGAGGGCTGTCCGGATTGCCAGGCGACGGGAGTGCTGAGTGGAGACAGCTGGTTCCAGTAGGCACAAGGCTGCCAGAAAACAAAAAACTCTCTCCGCCGGATCAGCGCTTTTGAAGCTCGTCTTGTTGCGTTTGGCCAATTAACAAGCAGACTGATTGGCTGTTTGGTTGAAAGGCAGCTGGTCGAACAGACAAGCTGCCCAATCTCTCTCTCACAGAGACGAGACTGAGGCTGAATGCTCAAGCGCTTGTTACAGTCTCCCATGACAACGGGTCCCGGCCAGGGCGTAAGAGACCTCAGCTTTTCTACAGAGGTATTGAAAGTGGGGCAGTCTTCATTCTGCAGTTTTGGTAGCAGAGCAGAAAATACAACGTAAGGAGATGCGAGGACAGAGAATGGTCGAAAGGTCTCTGATAAATTAGAATTGTATTTACAAATTCTGTACAAACAATACATAACTCATAGAATAGCCAAGTCAGTAGCTGTGAGATTAAAAAAAGCCAGCTCTAAAATCAAAGTCATGCGCTGTGCTTTAACACCGCTGGATAACCTGAACACGTGATTGGAAACATCTTACTTTGGTCAGAATGAGCTAATCAATGAAAACTAGTTCCATCTTAAAAGCCTAGTGATGCTACCTCATCACTGACGAAGATTTATTGTGTAGATATATTAATTTTTGTGGTATTTGATTATTGAAATAGATAATTGATATTGAATTAAATAGATTTTTTTGGCACAGAGTCCTCTTCTTCAACACCTAGCTTGCAGCAAGGCATTAAGAAATTAAGAAACGTTGATTGCAGCAAGGTTAAGAAATTGATAAAAATTTAAAAATAATAGCAGAAAGGGGCAGTTTCAAGTCCATTCCCAGGGAAAAGGCAAAAACATAATTAAAAGTTTCAACTAACCCTAAAGATCCTAGCTTTATACAGTACTTCTCTGTAAAAGGAAACTTTGTAAGGAATGGATTCTTAGAACATGAAGCAGAACAGGACTGTTGTGAAGGCTCATGTTGTAGAAAAAGCACTGGATGGTGAGGACTGGAAGCAGGTAGATAAAAGGGATTTCTGAGTAATCTCCTCGAGAAACACATTTTAAGCTCTGGGATACCATTGAAAACAGGTAAAAACTTGTCCATTGCATGATGATGTTCTTTCTTTAGAAACATCTAATGCCATTCATATATATGGAATCTTCTGTGCCTTTTTAGGCTAGTCTCTCCTAATTGTGTGCATGTGTTGTTATCCCAAAAAGGGCTTAACTGTAAATTCTCTTTGTTTTGCAATGGACACTGAATTAACACACTGGCATCCAGACACACAATTAATGTATTCATGTGCAAATACCAATCAGGCAAACCATAATTAATCACCTAACAGCATTCGGTGTGATTAGAAAACAAACAGGGTTAAGTCTGGTATTGCATTCACATACAGCTTGAGCCATATTAAGTAAAGACAAAGTGTAATGAATATTCAAGACTGTTAGAAAGCACTTTGTTTTCAGTATAAATTACAGATACGTAAAAAATGTTCAGATTAAAATGAAAATGAATGAAGAGAAGAATCAAAGAGAGTCTTTCTTAGTTCTTCTGTGTTGCCCATTGGTAGAAACATGGCTAACCAGAAGCTGAGTGAGGAAGGGTGTGCACATGTCTGAGAGATTTCGTAATAGCAAAACGTGAAGGTGGGAAAATGCATCCAAAGTAAAGAAAACTAAAAAAAAAAACTATTGACTGATCTGCAGTAGTGCTACTGTGATGAGAAACATTTTTTTTCTAATAACTTCGGATGTAATGACTCATACTAAAATAAGTTCTGTTGTATTTTCACAGGATACTCCCAATAGAGAAGCATGTGTATTGGGAAATATTTGACAGGACAGGGCAGGTTTGACACAGACATGTTGCTGCTCTCAGAAAAACCCAGTCTGGCAGAGAGGCTGAGTGTGTACAGTATGTGTTGGAGACAGAAGATTAGGTTGGGAGTGCTTGCAAGAGAGGGGAGGGGCATTTTTACTAGAACAAGAGTCTGAGAAAAGCACAAAATATAGATGTGTGAGTCACACATGTGCAGTGAAAGCTATACAATAGAAAAAGCAACACAGAATTAATTCTGGTTTTATCTAAAGTAATATTCAACCATTACTGCAGCTCGATTCACTTGTCTTCATTCATGTTGAATAAGCATTTTCATTGAATTTAAAATGCTTCTCGTCACAGGGATGTGTTATACTGCTAGCTGAGAGTTATTCCATTTGAACTTCCTGCAGGTGTCAGTTCATATTGAATGTGGGTTCAAAGGCACTACTTTGTCTCCTGCTTCCTATTTACTTCACCCCATGCTAAATAAGCCTCCCATGGCTCTCGACTGTTTTCACTGTTCAGACTGCTCTTTGTCCCACTAACTACCCTTAAAAGGAAAAAAACTCCTTTTCAAAATTCATTAGCATTAGAGAGGACAATTAAAGGGGGAGGCAGTGATGTCACAGAACTTTGAATTTACTTTACTGAAGTCACCGAACTAAAGCTTAATACAGTTTGTAGCTTATTTCTATTAATTTGCTTCTTTTGTAGGCTCACTTTCTTGCAATCATACAAAATCCCTTCATTGTCTCTTTTTTAGTAATACTGGCATTTTATTATTGCTATGATTAAAATTATTATAATAATTCCTTACACTTATTTAATGATCTTCTTGACACTCCACTAAAAGTGCCTTACAGGTAATGGGGACTCCTGTCCACCATCACCCATGATGATGGTGGATGATGCAACGACAGCCATAGTGCACCAGTACGCTTACCACACACCAGCTCCGTGGGGAGGAGAACAGAGTGATGAAGCCAGTCCAGAGATGGGGATTATTAGGAGGCCATGATTGGTAAAGGCCAGCAGGAAATTTGGGCAGGACACCTCTACTCTTTTCTAGAAATACCCTTGGATTTTTAATGACCGTGGAGAGTCAGGACCTCGGTTTTATGTCTCATTCTTAGGACGGCACCCTTTTTACAGTCTAGTGTCCCAATCACTGCACTGGGGCTTTAGAATCCACATGGACCGCAGGGTGAGCACAGTTTTGCAAAATTCTGCCTTTTCAACACCGTATTAAAAAATACCACATCTTGTCAGTTACCAGAATATATAAAGCAGATGAGTCAGTCATTCAGTAAATAACTTGTTGCTGCATGTTACTCAGAAAGCATTAGGTACTCCTATTCTGTGGAGAAGAAAATAAAATGTCATGAATATCTGCTGTAAAATGTAGTATTAATGTCTTAGTGCATGACTTACTGTATGCCTTCAACATAGTTGCACCTGAATGTTACCGTTTACATAATAACCATAAGCAGGGCCAGTCCTAGCTTTTTGGGGGCCCTTGGCAAGATCTTGGTAAAGAGGCCCCTCCAGATCATGATTTGCGCATTCGCTACTATGATCAGCTCCCAGCCCATCCTTGTCGTACTATTTAGAACAATTAAATAAATGAATTATATACTGTAACTAGAAAGTTGTCACGATTGTCATCCCTCCTCTAGTATTTTAGTTTCATTATCACGTACACCTGCCCCTTGTTCCTGCCCCTATTATTTAAACCTTGTGCCTCTGAAGCTCAGGGCTTTGCATTGGAATATGGATGTCCGGAGGCCCACCTAGCATCAAGTCGCCCTACGTCCGTGGCTTGAAGGCTTAGGCTTCTGAACAGTGTCCTGAACAGCTGAGTCCGGTGCTCAGAGTGCCTGACCTCGTCGCTCCATTTTTTAACTTCCTTGTCCCTGATCCTGTTCCTGTTTTTATTCTTGTCATGTCTTGTGTTGGATGGATCAGGTTTTGGATTTTGAACTGCTCCCTGATTTGCCCTTTGAACTTTTTGGGACTTGTTCGCCTGCGCTCGCCCCATGCACCTGGATCACTGTCTGCACTGCCCCCTGTTCACCATCCCTTCTATTCCTCACCGCAATGTCCCTGTAGCCCTTCTCCAGTCACTTCCGGATTATACCGTCTGCACAGGGTCCTAAACCACGCAGTTCACGGGAGTCGTGACCGGCTCCCGTTACAAAAAATCTTTTTTTAACCAGCTGAACACATGATAACTTACAAATGAAAACAAGAAGTACACAGTTTACAAAGACAGCATGTATTTTAACATGGAAAGTAATTTGCTTTGTTGAGAGGTCTCTGTGAACTCTGTACACACTTGTTCTGCTGAAGCTGCAATATTTTATAAGGTGGACATTCAGAACAGGTTTGAACTGGATTGGAAGAATGCTGGACACAAGGGCTACTATGTAATTCTATACTGTTATACAGGAATGTGTGCTATGAACCTAAGTAACCAATTGCATTAAAAGAAGTTATCTTTAGCAAATAGGGAATTAAGAAGATGTGCGTGATTTTGGAACACTGCCAATCT